TTGATTAGGAAAACTGCAATCGTCTAAACCCTCGCTTTCTCCAATTTCTAAAATATCGTCAAAGTTTCCCTGAAGTTAGAATGCGTCTGTAACTATCGTCCTAACTTGATCGCTTCTCTGATGTATCCTAGGCCGAATGTATAACTTAAACACCTCTGAAAAGACCAGCAGTTAGGCCTGAACATCATCACTAAGACTTGGTCAGCAACACATTCCGAAGTCACGCAGGATCTCAGACAGTTGAAGTTTTTGAAAGTATTGCTCCCTTGCTGAAGAAGCGTACAGTAGTTGTAAAATGGCGCATCTCTCGAAACTTCCTTGTCTCATGAGACGGCCATAACGATGCGTGACTCGCCACGCTACCAACAGGTGGCCAGCAGCGGTTGCTAAGCACCCTGCCTTCTTGGGTCGGTTACACACCAACATTCGCAAAGAAGACGTGAATGTCCCATAAAGAATACGTGTTTGTACATGCCCAGCATTTCGTGTATTCTAGCCTTGACCAGCTCCCATTCCGACTTCAAATTTTAGTTCTTTCTGCAATTCATCTGGTTCTCGAGGGGCGAACACCCCTCAGTAGTATCGAAGGTTTCCACCGTTAAATTCGGAGCATATGAACACTGCTAATTCGTGCGCATTTTCTCATTCGTTGCCCGAATGATCCCTTCCTTGAGAGGGTTTTATTGAAGCCGAGGACGAGTATCTCGCTCGAAGTGTCAGTGACCAGAAAATTCGAGTCAGATTCTGTCAAGAGCTACGTCTTAAATGTTCCATGCAGGCCTGTAATAGCCCTGAAGGTCCTTGGTTTGGACTTAAATGTCGACCATTCCACGAGAGAGCATAATCTGTTGGGGACGAAGAGAACCTTTGGAATGTGCTCCTGTGTGTCGGCTGCTGGACCGTTGAGAGTGTCGGACGTCGCAGTCACCAAGCAGCTAAGGTTTCCCGTTCCAGCCGAATGCTGGTTGCATTCACCCCAATCTTTTTTGGGGGGTTTTGTTGTGAAGAAGGGTGGGGAAACTGGAGTGTTGCGTTCTTCGTGGGCGCAGCTTGCTAAAAGTATTTTCCGTTTGGCCGGACACATGTCTCTGTATCATGATATGTATCATGTCGAAGGTCCAAAAGGTCCTTCTGTCTGTCTCCGCGTCGGAGGAGAGCATGGGCTTACCTTTCCGAGCTGATATTCGACAGGCTCGATCGGAACCGTCCCCGACACGGAAGTCGATCGCCGACCGCTGATTGGAGCCGCGAATCGCGTTGGATTGATTTGGCCGGCTCATTTAGGATACTGAGCTGGAGAACTCGATGTCTTTGATGAAGTATTTGCTCCAAGGGGTGTCGGAGAAATTCCCCGCCGACCTGCGCAGAAGCGTATTCTGCAGACGTCTCTCACCCATGGCCAAGTGCATCTACATGATATAAAAGGCGAATCTGTCCGTGGGTGTGAGTCATGGTGTCATTACGAGAAATTCCTCCAAGCGAGATGAACGGATTTTCGCGAGTCGCCCATCGAAAGCTCATGGAGGCAATGCTCATTTTGTCAAAATCGAAAATGTATTACCATACTGACATGAGAATAGCATCGTTCTGCATGCCTCCCCAAACGAAGTGCTCCCAATCACCAACGAGAGTGCGGGCGTTCTCGGCCACTGCTGGCATCAGTCCCTTCGCCGGTTCACGATAGTGCTTCACATGCGTCTGCAGGATCAATTTAGTGCTTTATAACATTCATTACATTCATATTGGTGCTCTATGACATTTTGGTATTGCTTTGAAAATTCCAAATTTAAAAAATGGCCAAGTTTGAAATAGCGGCCCGATCTATAGAAAAAAAAGCGTGACGTTCTGGAGTCAGAGTCAGAGGATTGAATCTCCATTATTGATTTATCGTAATTGTTTGATCATTAATTTTTTTTCAGCATTGACTACCTCAGCATTGGGGGAAGAAATCAATGCTTCAGATTCTCGAGTTCATTTCTACTTTCAGATAACTTTCTAACGGAATATTTCTCGAAATATGCCCGGAGACCTTCAATGATCGGGCGACAGGTCGAGTTGTGTCGTGTCGTGTCGTGAAGGGCGAGTTGTGCAACTGTAAATTTTTTAGGCTTGGAGATCGTCTCGATTCATTTTGGGGGCGGCTTCTCGGGGATTCGAGGGGGCATTCGAACCTTGGAAGAAATCTGGGAACGGAGCACCATCGTATGCACAAAAACTTGTTTTATTCTTGAAGGTTCTTCGCGGCGGGATCCCCTCATCGATACCGGAACGAACAGCAGACCCCGCACGTCGACGGACCCCAACCGCAGCAGTTGCAGCAACTTCTGCACCACCCAGCCTTGCACTGACTGCACTTGCAGACGCCGACGTCGCAGTCGCCGGATTCGCAGCCGCGACTCTTGCACGAGGCGGCGCAGGCGTCGCTCCCTTCGTCGCAGGCGTCGGCGCCGACGCTTTCCCGCAGCGCGACGAGGATCAGCATTGCGACCAGAATCAGCCGGGTGTTTTCCATGTTGGCCTCAAAATCTGGATCCCTGGAATGTCAATTTTACTGCGAATTTTAGCGAATTCAGTTGACGACTGCGAATTGAATTGTAATCGGAGATGAAACATTTTTTGGGAATAATTACATTTTTGCGGGGGGGCTAAACAATTTTTTGCTAGCGATTTCCTCACCGACGACACGACTTGCCTGCTTGCTTCGACTTACCCCCCCCCCCCCAAAGAAGGAGTGATCCATCGACTAAACAAGCCGGAAGAAAAAGAGAGAAATTTGAAACCTGCTTCGAGTTGAGATGACCGCCGGAGTTCGAAGGCGTGGAAGGCACCAGCTGGAACTGATGGGATGTCGGCCGCGGCGGAGGCCTTATATATCGCGGTGCGGCCTTCACCCTTCGGCATTTCGTATCATCAGCCGCATCGCTGGTATCGTGTCGCTTTTCCTCAATCGTCATCATCAATCGACGTATGGAATGGTAATAAAACTAAACATCATACGGAGTATTACTGTAACGCGAAAAGTCGGATGCGTCTTTTCTCGATGCGCTTATGAGGAGCGCCTCATCAGATCGGAATAGTCTTTTCCATCACCCCATTACAAAGCAATTAAAGAACCTCCCCCATTACAATTAAAGAGCCTCCCCCATTACAAAACAATTAAAGAACTATCTATCTAAGCGAAGAAAACTAAAAATTGAAATGTAATCCATTTGTTAGACCATCGAATGTGAATTGGGTTGCACGGAGTATCTCTAGCGAACCACTCTTCATTTGCAATGGAACAAGCTTCGCTTTTTCGTCAGGCCGAAGTAGGACGGCGCCATCGCCTGGAATCGAAGCCAATCGGATGACAGGAGTGAAGTTAACCGATGCCACGAATATTTGAAGGGCTGAAAGGCAAAGTGGTCTATCTGCAACAAATTATTTCCTGAAGCTCCACACGGAATGATTGAATATTCCGGTGACCATCATGTTAAAAGTGAGAAAATGTGGTATGTATCGACAGATCACTTCATCCTTTACTTGATTCGAAACAAACTATAATTTCCTATGAAAGGAACAAGGTCCTATGAGCCCAAAACCCACAACACTTTTTTTCGGAATTTTTCTGCAAGATGGACCACTTTGTCTTCCAGCCCTTCATTTAACCGACTATATGGTAATATTTAGTGCGGGACAACCCAATAACCCCGCCACCTTTCGCCCACCTCAGCGAACAAGCCAGGTCCGGATGGAATCGGCGCGGTCACGATCGGCCTCTGCAATCCGTGAAACTCTTTTGAAAATTAGACGAAAAAAAACGAAAGGCAGGCGGCACAGGAAGTCCTCTCTTCGGGGAACCGCGTTCCATCGATCCATCGAGGATTTAGAGGGCTAGAGACGGCAAGTCCACGTTTCCCGCGAGAAATCGTGTCCATTCCAAACGAAAATTCCTCGGATGAAAAGGCAAGAAGGTTCGTCGAAAGAGGTTTTCGGACGGATGCACTCTCGAATGCCGGTGAACCGGCGCGACGATTCTCAACGCTCTGCCTTCGGTTTGGAGGTTCGCGTGCCGGGCCGCCGAGAGCCACGAAGTGACGTGTGACGAAGTGACGTGTGACGAAGTGACGTGTGACGAAGTGACGTGTGACGAAGTGACATGTGACGAAGTGACGTGTGACGAAGTGACGTGTTTTGCGGTCTTCGAGGCGGTTCTAATACGTGCTTGCGGACCAGTTGAAATGAGAGGACGGAAAAGCGAAATGCTTTCATTCGCGAATATGCTCTCGTTTGCATTTCCTCATCAGAGATTTGGTTGATTGCTAAGGTAAACATTTGCGGATAGGAGGAAAAACGTGTCCAGAGTCCATTCCTCGCTTATGGACCCGTGAAACAGCTGTGCAAATGCATCGCGTTAATGGGCTCCGACATTTCGTTGGAGTCATCGGGGCAACAGATGCAACGGGAGCGGGGCCTGCGAACACCGCGTTCCTCGTCCCGTTTGACTGCGCTTATAGCCATTGAATGACAGGACTTAAATGACATGAAATGGCAGCTAACCCATGTCGCAGATATTTAGTCACCCCAATCAGCCCACAAGCCACGTCCGAGGCCGAATCGGCACAGCCTCCTCCATCCCATCGAGAGGCGATGGCGGCGGGAAAGGTGGGCAAGTTTGAAACATTTTTTGCGGCGCGATCGACCGATCGCGGGAAAAAGCGAGACTTTTGGGGGTCACAGTCAGCGAATTCACCGACCGTTATTGATTGATCGCAATTGGTTGATCGTTGTTTTCGATTAAATCCATTGAGAATTCTTCGGCGTGTTGCACGAAGCTAATGTGGAAAGGCACGAGACTCAATGTCGGATTGGGAAAGGGAATTTCATTTCCTGGTATGAAATCCGTGCCTGAGATTTTCCAAGGCATTTCTTCTTTTCAAGTAAATTTCTGCTGGAAATCTAAATTACCCGGAGACCTTCAATGATGGAATACGGCTCTCGGACGACAGGCTGAGTCGCGTCGTGCAGGGCGAATCGCGCAACTGCGAAATTTTGGGGGCTTCGAGATCATCTAAAATTTATTCGACACATTAGACATTCGAGGGTCTAGTATGTCCCTCATACCAGGAGCCGATGGATTAACCTTCAATTTAGTATTTCTGGAATAGGAATATCTAATATAAATACTTTTAATTCGAAGAGGTCAAAAGTTGTGGTAGCGGTCGTGGCTTGTCACCCCCACGTGCAGGCCTAAGATGCAATGCCATCCTGGGTCATAGGCCTAGGCCTACAAGGCTGCGCCTTTCCAAGCCATCATCTTATACTTTAATTCGAAGAGCCCCAAAGGTGTTGTGGTGGTTGTTACCCCATGCGCTATTACGCCACGGAACTCGGGATGTTATGCCTCTTCGTGTCAATCAGTCAGTTGTTGGTCGCAGTGAGCACTGTCAGGCTGTATATTTTGATGTAGGGAGGAGGCATTTGTTTCGCAACGGAAGAATGCTACTGCTGGAACTCACACTTTACCATCAGTGAGCAACACTTTCAGAGCCTCAAGGTGATGTGGTGGCGAGGCATTATCTGGAATTAGTCGCTGGCATCGTGCCGCGCATGTACTAAATTCCCTCTGTGCCTTGGAATAAGTTCTTGGAAATGGTCCGTACTGTTTCAGAATCATTGGTGTATGTACCATATGCTAACGCTAATAGCCCATGAGCTAATTGGTGATGGAGGAGTATTGAATGTGCTTGGGAGACGAAATCAGCAAAGTCGTCATGAGTCTTATGAAAACGTGCTAAACCGAGGCGTTCACAATGGCGATTGTGCCAATCAGCCGGAATATCATGATGATGGGGTTTAGGAACAGAATCTCCCAGAAAATGTAATGAAGCGGTTCAGTTCCGAATGGGTACAGTTCTAAATGGGTAATGCGATGAAAGGAGGATTGTCAAGGAGACGTTATGCTCACAATAGATGATTCAAATTTCCACCTATTAAACGGCCAGCATAGCGCCCGCAGGCCGCTAGTATTTATTTAATTAAAAAAAATTGGGGTTAAAGACCAGACAATTCCAGGCGGACGAAGCGCGCGTTGCAAGCTCATCGAGGAAGGACACATCAGACCTTTCGCGTCGCTATAATATTATATTTTTCCATTCCTGAGAGACTTGTGATTATACTCCCCCTCTCTCTCTCCCTCTCTCTGTCCCTCTCTCCTTCTCTGTGTGCTTAGCCGAATGAGCCGATGATTTGTTCCCTGTTTGGCGAATGGGGGGTGAATTCATTACCTCTTCGGTCCCCGTAGTCTGTACACACTACAAAATCCGATTCTCCCAACCCCTTCTCAAATCGCTTCCACCTCATGAATCAATTCGCAGTCGTCCTCTAAATTCGCACTGATTCCCGTGAAAATTGACATTCTTGGGGATCTTAGGGATTTTTGACGCGAACATGGGAAACACCCGGCTGATTCTGGTCGCAATTCTGATCCTCGCCGCCCTGTGGGAAAGCGTCGGCGCCGACGCCTGCGACGAAGGGAGCGAAGCCTGCGACGAAGGGAGCGAAGCCTGCACCGCTTCGTGCAAGGGTCGCGGCTGCGAGGTGGGAGATTGCGTCGGCAACGTTTGTCACTGCCGTCAGTGCAAGGCTGGGAGATGCAGACCTTGCTGCAACTGCTGCGGTTGGGGTCCGTCGACGTGCGGGGTCTGCTGTGCATTCCGGTTTCGATGAGGGAATACCTCCAAGAAGAATCTTCAAGAATGAAATATTCCGGCATAAGACGCTGCTCAGTTCACGAATTATTTTTTTCCAAGGTTCGTATGTTCAGCCTCCGGTCGTTCGAACCCTCTCGGAGCTGCCCCCCAAATAATTTTGAGATGATCTTGAAGCCCCCAAAATTTCGCAGTTACGCGATTCGCCATGAATGACACGACTCAGCCTGTCGTCCGAGAGCCGTATTCGATCATTGACGGTCTCCGGGTAATTTGGATTTCTAGCTGGAAAATTTTCAGTAGAAATTTACTTGAAAAGAAGAAATGTCTTCGAAAATCTCAGGTACGGATTTCATACCAGGAAATGAAATTCCCTTTCCCAATCCGACATTGAGTCTCGTGCCTTTCCACATTAGCTTCGTGCAACACGCCGAAGAATTCTCAATGGATTTAATCGAAAATAACGATCAACCAATTACGATCAATCAATAACGGTCAGTGAATCCGCTGACTGTGATCCCAAATCGTCTCGCTTTTTCGCGCGATCGGTCGATCGCGCCGCAAAAACGTTTTAAACTTGCCCACCTTTCCCGCGGCAATTTGAGAGGAGCACCAAAATTCACGCGTATCCGATAGAGCACTAAATGAATGCTGCAGACTTACCCGAAACACTGCCTTGAATCAGCGAAGGGACAGGGAACAAGAAAATATTATGACATGAAGACGACTGCCCGCAGTTGCCACAGCAACACCGTCAGTTGCCGAAAATGCTGAGCTCTCATATTTGCTTGTGAACACTTCGTTTGGGAAGACATTCATCGCAATGTCATTCTCATCTCCAAAATTAGGCTCACATAGGACAGCGAAATTTTAGCGGGGGGATGCTCACAATATAACAAAAAAAATTTCGATCCTACTTCTTCTTCGAGCCTTTCTTTTTTTCGGCTGTCATGAATTCTACCCTCGTCGGGGAACGACTCAGCCTCTCTCCATTTCAAATTTTGGAAATCCCACGACGCCTGCTTCGGGGAGAATGCTCCAAAAACTGCCTGGAGAGAGCACCATCGATGAGAGCGTCCGAATCTTCATTGAGGGCATGTACAGTAAATCTGTAAATCCCAACATCTTTCTATGTATTAGAAGGTAAATATTCGAGGTGATTCTAATGCATGGGCGCGATGCAAGCGGTGACGATGAAGAAGTGACATGTGA